ACAGAAGAGTGTGGGAATGGCTGAACTGCAGTCCAGACCTTTGACCAGTATGTGTCTCATCATGAAACAAAAACAACACAGCAGATCCAGGAGTGTTGAGCAGCTGGAAGCCTCGATTGGACCTTCAGTCGCACAAAACTCCAGCAGCTGGTCTCGTCTGTTCCCAGATGTTTACAGGCTGCTGTTAAAAGAATCAGGGATGCTACACAGTAGTAAACAGGACCATTTCCCAACTTTATGAGTCATGCTGCTGCCATCAAATTCAAAATGACCATTTGATTTTCTCAAAGTCTGAGATCTGCAAACCATTGCATTCTGTTCTTACTTACATTTTACACAGCATCACTGCTTTTCTGGAATTGGGTTTCATCCATCCATCCATCCATGGATGGAATCATGTTTGTTCATATTGAAATCAATAGATTACAAACATACACATAAAGACATCTGCAGCTTCTCAGTTTTTTTCAGTGTATATGCGTTCTCCACATTTCAAGCAGATAAGGTTTCTAAACTAAAATCAAGACACTTCATACAGGGCAAACATGCCTGGGGTTTTCCCTCTGTAGAGTCTTTACACTAAAAAAATATAGAAAAATAAAGTCTTGAGATGACTGCTGTTGCGAATTATCTTTAAAAATTCAATTGAGTCACAATTGAGTTTTGCAATAAAAGAGTCCTGCTTGTTGATTTAATATACCCAGAGAAAAGAAGAGGATAAATGACCTGGTTAAAACATCTGACTGTTGTCATATTAATGTTATTACAGCTTTATCAGAGCTGTGAGGTACATTTGTGTCCTTTTCAACAGTAGATACCATTTTGCCCTAAAACTGATCAGGTAAATGAAGTATGATCAGAAAGCAGTAGGAAAAAGCAAACAGGGTTTTGTCCTTTTTTTTTTTAAAACATTTTGCATGCTGTATTTGCCAAAATTACAACAGCAAGTTCAAGTATTTGATTAAATGGCATTTTCTCTGTCCGTATTTTAAAATAAATATAAAAAGTCAAGATCCAAACTGCTACATGGCATCAGTTACTGAATTGGCTTACACGTTAACTGCAGCAAAACGGATCATTTCCACCAACTTTCCAGTCATTAAAAGAAATGATAGAAGAATTAAAAACAAATGCAGCTTAATGAGATGGCAGAACACAGCTGGGATCACGAAACAGTCATTCATTCATTTCGCTCTCATTCATGCACACATATCACATCTGTATGCTGAACCTAAAACACAGTCATTTCACTTACAGTAGTTTGAATGTTGGATGAAAAAGAAAACAAAAACAATCAAC